TCCACATAGTTTGCTGCACTTGCATGCAGAAAGAAAGCTGTACATCACTGCAGTAAAGTATAAAAGACTTAGAAAACAAAGACAGCCTTTAAACTGAGACTGTAGCTTGTTTCATTTCTTAAACAGCCAGAGCCAAACTACACCCTGGGAAACTGTTAGAATTATTAAAACTTATCTAAACATATCAGACAGCAAAATAAGTGCATTTCTATATGTAGGGTTTCACAAATCATACAGAAAGAACAACTATCACCACACCAGAGCTGTTATACACAGATACACAGAGGCTGCAGAGCAGCAAATGCCACCAAACATTTCTGCCATCAGGTCTTACAGTGTGGAGCCTAACACAAGACAAAAACTTTAACTCAAGGACCTCTTGTTGCTCAGCTATTGAGGAATAAAGTTGAATTTAAGCATTCATCTCACTCCAAGTGTAAAAGTTCTAGTTCTGTCATTTGTAATGAAGTTGCCTAACAAGGGATAAAAGATTATTGGCAGGAAAAGACAACTGCAGGGCATTAAAAGCAGATTAAGGTTGTAAGAAAAAGCAGTGGCAGTAAGAAAATTCACAGTTAAGGGGAAAAGGCTCCATATGTCTCCTAACACCAAGATCCGACTGGGGGCACCGAGCAAGTCATTAAGGAGAGACCCCATTGTGTGCTGGAATTAGCAGACATATGGCACGTTTTCCCTAAACTGTGGATTTTCTTGATTATCTACCATCAGCACACAATCCTAATGTTTTCCAAAAGCCAGTTTTTAAGGAGCAAAAACAATAACCTACAGCTACACTAGGAGTGGTTTGCTTGTGCAAGGAGCCCTGCATTGTCTGCCTGTCTCCCTGGGACAAACCAAGCATGGGAAAATTCAACAACACCCATGCAACAGTGTGGGGCCAGAGCTCCAGCCACACTGCCAGGAAATGCAAGGGCAGTAATGAATTTTGCCCTGTTCCATGCTTCCCATCTAATTTAGGACAACTTCCACGTTTTAAGCAGTCTGTGGAGGTAGAAGTCCCTGATAGTGGAACCATCACCATCTGTCTGGTGAGGACACCCCCCCCCCTAAAGTGAGAAGGAACCAAAGCTTACAGTGACATTTGAATTGGTCACCTAAACCCCTGATAACTTCCCTAGGAAGTGCTGGAAACATCCACTGCCCTTAAATGCTGACATAATCACTTAAAAACAATTAAAACTGCATGCCTTTTATTACATAACCAGGCACATTTATCAAATAATCATCTAGCCCTTTAGACTCTTGGATCTCCCAACTCAAGCCACACCAGCTGCTCCAAGGAGTTCAATTTTTGTACTACAGCATCAAATGTGTAGGGAGATGTCTCTCATGCAGTAAATGTGTCATGGTAAAACAGGTGTTTGGCCACCTCTGGATTCAGTGTTTCACATGGTGATTGTGCCACCAATCCCAGTAAGATCACACAGTGAGGATGGCCCACCCATGGCCAATGACCTGGTGAGAAACACCCACTAAAATCAGAATCCACATCTGATTTAATGAGTGCCCAAACCAATTGTCCATAAATACAATTTACTTCATATTACCATATCTTTTTTATATGAATCCTTTTTACAGCATTTATTATTTTCTACTCATTTGGGCAAAATCTATTTCCATCTATTCCACTAATATTGTATTAATAATCTTTTAGCACCATTTTAATTTTAAAGCAAATTAACATAATGAACTACACTTGAAAACTATTCACAATTTCATTAAGATATTTATTTCAATTTGGTAATTGAATTCATAATAAGTCTACAAAATTATCTATTAGAAAAACTCCATTGTATTTCCTGGCATGTCCTTCTTACTCAAATAATTTTATTGAAGTCAAAGGTTCACCCTAAGGACTGTGAGTCACTGGAAGGATCTGACCTGAGGATGAAAAACAACATTTCAGACTGTAAACCTGCCATAATCTGTGGCACAGGAGCCTTTAAATAACATGGCATGTCAGACCTTCCTAAGGCAACCACACCACCAGAATAACTTCCAGCCCCTCAACATAGAAGCTGAAATGCTGATTTAACTTTTTTTTTGCTCTATGACTAATGCCAAGTTGGCTCCTAGAGAGGCACTGCTGATCCAAGCAGAATTACCACGTTTTAACAGAATTTGAGCTGAATTTCCTCCATGCCTTTGAAAAGCTGTGTCTGTGTGTGAGTTTCACCTCTTTCAGGTGATGTTGGGGCATGGTCTGAGTCCAGCACTCCCTGACCAGGCTCTTTTAAGCTGTTCCACACATGGAAGGTGTAATGTTCAAAATCAGCTGGACTCTCCTGATGTCACACAGGACTTGGCTTGCAGCCATTTCAAAACCCTCCTAAATCCTCATTAAATGTTGAGGTTTTATCCCCTCTGCTGGCCCGAGCTCCTGATCCACTCTCCCCACTCTGGCTTGGCCAGCCCAGGGTGGAACAGGCACAGCTCCTGCTCCCACCCAGCTGTGCACAGCTGAAGGAAAACCACATTTTGGCAGCTGCTGTGTGGTGACAGCTGTGGTCAGTCACACCCTGCCTTGCTCTCCAAAATCTACGGGCACCTCACCCCCTTCTTCCTTGGTTGGGTTTATTCAGTGAGTCACAGTCACCCCCAGAGGGTTGAGTCAGTCAACGGCACTAAAATATTACTTTTAATGTCCTATTCAAATTTACCAAATGTTAATTTGAGGTGACATGAGAAGCTGATAGAAAATTTTGGTCATCATTTCTTCAGGAGGTCAAAAGTAGCCTGAAAATCCTTTCATGAAAAACCTTTCTTTTCATGTAGCCATCTATGCACACCTTAATTTAGAAATGTCAAGTGCATTATGCCTTTTTTTTTGTTTGTTTTTCTCTGAGGACACTTTGGAGGACTTAAATCTAGGAGGTGAAAATTTTCTTATCTTTACCAGGTTTTAAAACAGCATAAAATAGCCTGCAAAGCGGCTCTATACCACCTCATTTAAAAGGCTTATTGGGGGAAGGGAAAAACGAACCACAGGTTCTAATTTTTTAATCTGACTGGAAAAATCTCCCTCTCAAATGGAACCACAAGATTCAGTTTTTAGTTACTGATATCTCAGTCTTACGTGTTCTTTAAATGTAACTATTTTCAAGGATAAACACAATGAAACACAGTAATTTATAAACACAACAGAAATTAAAAAAAAAAAAAGTTTTCAAATAGATCTTGGAACTTTAATATTATGAGGAGACAAAAAAAAAATCAACACCTCCCCTTCTCTCTCTTGGAAACACACATCTCTGTTCCTGAGATGAGCCTGAATAAGAATTACTGCTCTGAAACCCCTGGAACTTGGTGGCAGTTCTGACTTGGATTCACACATTTGTGAAGCCATCAGGCTCCTGCAGACACTGCATGTGATTAGCTGGATTTAAACAGCTTCAACTCCCACCCACAGAATCCCCGAGTCCTCACAGGTACAGAACCACACAGGTACCAAATCACATCTCACATCCTCTGCTCGTGGCTGTCCTGCACCACACAAGGAAATCTTATGGAAAAGTAAGAGTAAAATAAAGATTTTGTTTGCCTGTCCTACAAAACATTATAAAATGATAAAATTAACTTTTTAATTAAGGACAAGATTGATGATAATTGCCCAGAAGAAGGTATCTGTAAGCAACACTGACCAAGAGGGGAAATTAAGAAAACCACAAGCCTATGCTTATGGTAATTTCTTCTCTAAATGTAATATCCTAATGAAGCATTAATTTGTCATATAAATGACATTCTTCTGACAATCTTTCACTGGGGACTTGAACTCTAACCAAAATGTGTGATCACTTTTTATGGTTCCTTTATCTTATGCGAAGTCTCACTTTCCCCACCCCAACAATAAAACTCCCCCAAGGGCTTGTTATCCCTCTCCTAGCTTCAACAATGCTGGTGTAAAAAAAAATAAATAAAATTTCTTAATAAATCTTGAAGCCCATGGCTTAGATAATACAATAATGACAATTGATGACAACATACTCAAAGTAGCATCATAATATTAAAAGCCAACTTCTATAAATGACCATTCTCTCAGTTTCTGTAGATACCTGATAAAATTGAAGCTTGAGAGTTGGTTGAGTGAGTTTTTTTAATATAAAAAGCATTGAAGTGTTCAAAAATTAGTGGAACAGAGTGAAATAATTTGATATTCATCTCTCTGCTCTCACTACCCATCTCACAAGGTCACAATATAAACCAGCAACTCCAGTCCAATGAGATACAGAAATTTGTCTCCTGACCCCAATCAAGGATCTGAGAAGCAACTTCAAAGATATTCTTGAGCTGAAGACCCTTACTTGCTTTACTAAAAGGAAAAGAAAAGCTCCAAACTTTCCAAGTAGAATGGTAATAGGGGGGAAAAAAAGGCAGAGGCTAAATGAAATAGTGCAATACTCTTTTTCTATGTCAAGTTAAAGCCCAGTCATAGTTTTAACCACAAAAAAACCCACAAAAGAATCTTTTAATTGTTTGTAAGCCAGCAATTAATAACTGATTGAACTTGCAAGGGTATATCTGGCAGAAAAAAAAAAACACAACCAAAAAAAACCAAACTTGTACAAAGCCTAGTACTGTTTGAGTAGCAACAACAGGTGAAAAGAGATATTTTATCTACCAATGACACAAATAGCCTCAGATATCTCTTTTTTTACCCCTTTTCTAAGCACCAAAAGAAGAACAGTGAAACTGTTGAACGGCACATCTCAAGACTCCGATCCACAGAACGTGCAAGTTCACCTCAAGGATAACAGCTGATTTTGTTATAGAATATCCTTATTGAAGGATAACAAACCCAAAGATAGGTTAGAAACTGCAGGTAGAGCTGCACAATTTACCAAAAGGCTTCTCTCTAACACCATATCTACTAATTGGAGTTTTCTTTACGTATTTATTTAAGGACACTGTGCCGTAGAAGTAAAGCAACAACTATACTCTTGAAGGAAATAAAAAATTAAAAAATCCAGGCAAAAACTTACCAGTTTAGTTTTAGGTCATGAAAAGTCTGGCCTGGAGGAGGTGAGTCCAGCTATTTACACTTCCATTAAACTGAATAAAGCAGAAGAGGAGATCTTGCCTGCTATTGAATTTCCCCAAGTCTTCAGTGCTCTTTCTCCTGACCTTTCCTTAAGCTCACCTGACTTCCTAAACAACCTTGTGCTGAAATTAATATCTAGTAACAAATCTCTGAGAAACTGTAAAAAGATAAAAGCAGCCATTTCTCTGAAGAGCTGGGGCAAGAGTTCAGAGGGAGCAGGAGACAAATAAGCTCCTGCTCAGACAAGGTGCTCTTGATTATCATCAGACAATGGCAGCAGCCTCTCTGATAAGCCACACCTGAATGCAGCCTTATCTCTTTGCAAGTATAATCTCTTCCAAAACCTGTTTCCCACAGACAGAAAACTGGCAAGTGTCTCTCATTGTTGGATATCAGGAGAAATAGATGCCCACACACAGAGAGATCCACAAGTTAACCTTAAATTTTGATACTTGGGTGTCTTTTCCACTAGGACTTTCCCAAAACACAACAAAATCACAACATTTTGCTTTAGAACAAATTATGGCAGGGTAGAAGGTAAGATAAAAAGGGACAGAGAGAGAGCTGGGCTAATCAAAATGATACAAAAATTTCACGTCTTGGATAAAAACATTTCACTAATTGTTTGACGTTATCCCAGTCTTGGAAGAAAAATTCTCAAATCTTTTAATCACTAATATTTTATGAAGAGGAGTATCCATTTTCATGATCATATTCCATGATTTCATCCAACAATAAAACAGTTCTCTGTTTCCCTCTTAAGATATGAATTAAATTTCTCCAATTTCAAAGAGCAAACTCACCTTTTTTACCCAATATTCAATAACTATAGGCAATCTGTTGTGCATCGGAATGCCATGCTCCCTGAAACTCAACATCTGATACCTGAAGTGAAACAACATTTCAATATTCCAAAAGTTTCCTCATTTAGAATCCTAGAATTAAAACAATTAACGTTTTCACTTGTCCAATTACATTATTAAAAAAAAATAATTAAGAATTCATCTGGAATTTTGAAACTTCTTGTGCCCTCATTCCTTATTCCCTCCCTTTCTCTGGCAGATGTTGCCATTTTCATGACTTGAGTCTGGGGTAGCAAAGACAAAGTGAATCTGTGGCAGACAAGGTGAAAGCAGGAACAATTTCACACACCCTCTTTTCACTCTGCTGCCAAGAGCCTGGCAGAGCCCAAAGGCTCTGAGACACCCCAAGAACTTCTTAGCAAAAGCATCTGTCTCTGCTAAAACACCGTTTTAGAGGGATGACAAAACAGACTTTGGCATTTATGAACCAAACACGTGTATTAATGCTGAAGTTCAAGAGAAAAAAACCACCAAGCTGGGGTGGCCACGTTGGGAACTCAACACACAGGAGCACTTTCAGTAAGAGGGAAAAAATAAAAGAGGATCACAAGTAGCCTCTGTGTGTGGCTATTGACTAGTTGACAAAACAGGCTAAAAATCAATAGCATTTTCTATGGGAAGTTAGATAACTTCCCAATAGTATAAAACAAGGGTCTGCTGAGGAATAGATGTCATTTCTGTTGATGGCTTAACTGCAAATTTTCCATTTATTTATTTCTGCTCCTTGAAGAGCTCACTAAGTTCCGTCCTGGTACCAGCACACCAGGGAATAAAAGAAAATAGTATTCCTGTGTAAAAAGAAAAGGGAAGCCTCAAGCCATGAGCAATGATGAACACTCAACACTTCCATTGCTGTAAATACCAGAAAAATTACCAAAAACCTCTGAGAAATATTTACTGGGGCAAAATTGATCTGATGACATAAAGGGAACAAGCTCCTGGATTTCCTATAGGATTGAAATCCTGTTATGCTTTGCCTCTTGTTATGGGCAAAATGGAAAGCACCTTATAAGCTACTAACAAAATAGCAGTTGTCATCCCATTTCTGTCCACAGTCTGCTCATGACAATGACAAATTTCAACAGATAGCTAAGAAGGGGAAAAAACCCAAACCTCGTTTAGCCAGCACAATTTAAAATGTTTAAACCAAGATTTAGAAAGGGTAGGTACAGTGTGGAAAACAGCCTCTGCTGTAAGGGAGGGCTGGGGGGACTTTGTGCTGCAAACAGACCACAAATATTGGTCAGGTGCATTTTTACTTTCCAAACAGCCAAGTGGAAAATTGCCCTGTGCATTCATGTACTCACATGCAGCTCATATTACTAAAAATAGATTACAGATTTTTTTTTTTTTCCAATATGAAATGGGCATTTGGAGAGGGGGGTTAATTTAAAAGTTGTAATAAACATGCAGCATCTCTTTGTCAATACCAGTTATCCTACTTTGGCTATCTAACAAGTAATTAGTTATAATAATTTCTGGGAGAAAAGTGGATCATTTTTTCTTCTTATTAGCACATGCTTTGCCCTTTGTCATGGTTTAATTTGAATACAACTGCAAATTTAAAAGCATTTTATTTTTACTGCAGCAAAAATAATTAAATCAATGTTGTATTTGTGGAGCTGCTTTAAAGTATTAAAGTAACTTGATCCCAAATGAACTTAAAATTTTAATTCATTTTACCTTATGCTGGCTGTGGAAGAAGTCAAATTTTTAAATGCAATATGACATATGGCTGTTCATTATTTATACATTCTGTAGCAGACTATAAATTTCACTTTGGACATATATCGAAGCACTGAAACCATTTCAGTTGCAAACACATAAATCATAGTTACAGTTATTAGTCTAAATGTAATGCCACCCAGGTTCTAGATCAAAACCTTTAAAATCCATTATAATTGACGTTTGCTGCATAACTTATGTCTGATTTTATTAAAGGAGCTCATTATTATTTATATCTTTGAAACATTATATTCATAGCTGTGTAACCAGTTAAATGTGAAAGATTTGAGGAAAGGAGGGAAAAAGCAGGGAACAATAGTCTATAAACCAGAAAGAAAAAGGCTATAATAAAGGACAAAATGTTCTGAAATGGAATTACATAATCCAGGGTACGGATTTGCCGGCCTGCACTAGCAACATCTAGGACAAATGCAGTGGGAATTCTGTTTTAGGCAACTCACATCTCAGTGAGAAGGCTGCAAACCAAAAAGCATCTCCCCTGCTACACACTGCTGTGTAAGAGGGCAGGGGGAGAGGTTTCAGACAGCTCCTATAGCTTGAGAAATCCCTGAAACCAACCAGAAAGGGCTGTGAGGCCCTTACAGATTCATCAGGAGGCTTTTTGCTGATGAGCTGCCTCCTTTGTGCAGTCAGGATGAGAAAGGCACTCTGGGATGTACATCCTGTAAACATGGACAAGTCCTTGGCTTTTTTCCTTTTCCCAGAGTGGCTGAGCCTCAAAGCCAGGATCCCGTCTGTGCTGCACCATGGAGGCTTTATCATTCTCTTCCTCTTTTTTGTTTCCCTTTTGTGTTCAAGATTGGCTTTTTACTTGGCTCTAAAACGTAGCCAGAAGAAATAAATGTGAGAGGAACTATGTCAGGGAGATGTCTGCTGAGGAGCTGACACTGCTATCCTAAAATCAATGGCAAGGCTTCAAAAGACAAAGGATCAGACTTTCGGGTGGTTTGAAGTTGTCAGTGAAGGAAACCAATCTCTCAAACACTGTAAATTAACTATACATGGGAAATCAACATTTCCCCACCAAGGACAAGGAAATCCTTGGAAAAGATCCCAGGGTGACCCTGGGTGGGCACCAAAAAATCCCCTTTTGACTGAATTCCCTGGAACAAAAGAGTTCTTTATCACCCAGTCCACCACAGCCTTGTCGACTTTTAAACTACATTTAGCATAACACATTTCTACATTACACTTACATTTACATTATGCATATATTAATTCTAAATGATACCAATATATTTAACTGGATTTCAACACCATTTTACCTTCTTCTCATTAGTTGAAGAGAAAAATAATCAAGAACATGAACATTACTCTCTGTATCTAGCTTTAGCTTCACATCAATAGGCAAGAAAAAGTGATGATAAAAGCAAAGGCAGCATTTGTAGAGCTGGTGATATGATTGCAGAATTTGAGATCTTTCCTGAGTTAAAGAATTCTTTGAGTTTTTCATACCTGGCTTACATACAATAAAATGTAATTTCTGGAGACGCTGTGCATATTTCATTGAACTTCACCAGCCTTCCTTTTTTTTATTCTTTAATACTTCCTATTTTACTTAAAGTTCCATAACCTGAGCCAGAGAGAGCTCCAGTTTTAGGAGGAGGAAGCCAGGCTGGTCCATAGTAGGACTAAGAGGATATTCATCAGCAGGTGCAAGAAATTCTGCCTTCTATTTCAAACAGAAAGGGCATGGACTCATCTTGTGGTGGGCCTGGACAACTTTTGTGTATTGAAAATAAGAAAAGCTTCAGGAACAGGACTAAGGGAACAGAAATTAGTTTCACTTGCTTAAAAATGCCTGAAAATATTGTATCTCAAATGAATATTTTCAATGGAAAGTAAAAGAGAAAGATGTTGCTAATACAGATTTTGTGAGTATGAAATGCTCAAAAATAAATTCCAAAACCCAACAGCAGTTTAATATAAAGAATTTTCACTTGAAAATAGACACAATGAATATTGAGAGTTTTTCCCCTCAGGATTAATCCCATCAATACAGAACTGTGCAATTAAAATTACACCATTTCTTCTGCTTAAAAAAACCTGCACTTCTGTAGAATCCTGTTCATTGAACATATTGTCCATTCTCAAGTTTTACACCAAGCTTTTTTATGTTTCCCTTTGTCCCTAAATGCCCATGCTGGTTTCTATTCAAATAATCTTCATATTTCAGATAAAGGAAAATTTGAGCCTTGACATAAAGCACATGAGGAACTGGCCACCTAGACCCTGAATCTGGATAATTTGTAAATCTGCTTGTGTGGGCTGGCAATAATAATAAAAACTCATTAATCATGTAAGGCTGAGGTGCACACTCCTCTACAATAGCCCTGCAGCATTTCTTTGCTGTGGGGACAGCATGCTTCATAAACTCAAATTAGTGAGCTGCAAAAGCTAATTGAATGCACGTGAGAGGCTTTGCCTGGGGATAACACAGAAAGGTCAGGTGGTTTTCCAGTTTTATTACTTGGTTAAGAGAAGCTGAGATATTCCT